TATTTTCTCTTTAATATGGACATCTCCATTTTCCAAAAACAATTCTCCATAATGTTGGTCATCCATAATCTTGAATCACTGCCAAGATCACAAAGAATAAACAATGAAGGTGGTATGTTGTTTATTTTTGTCATCTGCAACTGGGAAAGGAAAAGAACTGCAAGTGATTCAGGCTGGAGACCCCTGAAAATTGTAACCATTGAGTCACCATTTTCATTTCTGACAATAGTGCAGCTCTGGGTAAATTCCGTAACCGAAGAGCTTTACTATTCTTTTTTGAAAATGATTATGATGATTAAAAAGTACGACAGGACAACGGACACAGAAGGAGACACAGACACAGTGCTGTGTCTCCTTCTGCGTCCGTTGTCCTGTCGCGCTTTTTAATCAATCACCAACTCGCCCAACGTTCTACCCTCGTCATTCTTTTTTGCCTCACTAATATATTCCCCCCCCCCCTTTTTTTTTACATTTGTCTTTACAGAGACCACAATAAAAAGATAAAAAAAACATGTATTTATCCATTTCGCTCCCAAGCTATTTGTCCATAGAACGTACTTCGGGTTTCTTTATTTAACGTGACGAGATAGAATTGTATCGGGACACATATCAGTCCCCGAAAATATGACATTTATAGTTCAGTTGTGTTGACGATTGGGCTAGTTGGTCATTCATATTAGCGGAAAACAAACAGCGCAAGGACAAGGACAGAGTAGAAGGCGGTAGACACACACAGCGCTGACTTACAACTGAGCTTTATTGGCACTGACAACCTGTATAAATGAGATCGGAGAGCAACGGCGCCTGCAGATGACTCTAGGAACACGTGTAGTCCTCCTCTTGTGTTTCTTTTCTTGGCTTTTGGGCCGGGCAAATTGTGTATTTATACAGGTTGTCAGTTCCAATAAAGCTCAGTTGTAAGTCAGCGCTGTGTGTGTCTACCGCCTTCTACTCTGTCCTTGTCCTTGCGCTGTTTGTTTTCCGCTGACATTTATAGCGGCGTGACCGAAACGATCGACCATGTTAGCGAGACATGACTATTGTTTTTCAATCGCGAAGACCGATATTCTCGCGCCATAGTTGCGTCTGAGGTTTACGAAACTATAAGCAGTCACTTGGCGAACTAAAGCGCGTAACACATGTACGACGAAAACCTTCCGATCCGACGTGCGGACTGCCGGAATGACCTTGGGGGGAGAGGGTTTTCGTAGCATCGGAGAGCGTTGAAAACCCTCGCCTCCGACCGTCGTATTGCGCGGTCGGACGTCGGATCGGACGGTTTCGTCGTACATGTGTTTCGCGCTTAAGGCAGTAATTGTTGGTGCGCGCCAGTAGCCTTTCAAAGTGAAAAAGCTATGTCATGTTCGCGCTTACAGTGTCGCACATTGTATTTTCACTGTAGCACGTCTTGCTAACGTAGATACTGCGCTCATTATTATTTTTTTTTTCCGCATAGCAACGCTTGTATAAAGTGACAGTGTAAATTGTTTTTCCTTGTCATGCAAATGACTGAATAAATGCGTCAACGAGTGCAAAAAATGCTGCATCTGTTTCGATTCCCTGGAAGACGCCGACGACAAGTAACGGGCTATCAACTGCTGGACACAAGGTAGGCAAGCAGAACTTACAATTCTTTGCCATAACACGTGGTATGGCACGCGCGAACCGTAAATTTCTAAACAAAACCTACCGCGGTACCGGCGGTACCACGGTAGGGAGCAGCGGCAGGGCACGGCGGAAGGGCTGCGCCATGTTGGATTTTGAGCGGCTTCGTCTACGCAAACGGCTAGGAAGCCGCTCCAGCTAGCTCGACGGCGTCAAAGTAATTATTAAAACGTTCGCGCTTCATTTTATGTACATAATTATCGCTGCTTATTTTACTTTCGCAATCTATTAATAGAGCAATGAAGCTCCGATTCGTTGCAATAATGAGCGCCTCCGACCACGGAAGCGCTGCTGAGCGCCCAGTTTTCCCAGAAATCGACTCCATTGGGTCCATGTCAGTGACCGGGTACTGACCAGGGTTTGAAGCCATGCCCTGAGAAGGTAGAGGCTATCGAAAAGGCACCCGCACCGAGTAACATGACGGAGGTTAAGGCATTTGTGGGGCTGCTAGCTTTTTATGCTCGTTTTTTCCCAGACTTAGCTGCCACACTGGGACCTTTGTATGAACTCTTAAAGAAAGACAAGAAGTGGCATTGGTCGGAAGAATGCCAACAGGCTGTAGACAGAAGCAAAGATCAGTTGTGCACTAGTGCTGGGGTAATTGTCCTCTACGACCCTAGTCTACCACTTCGAGTGACGGCCGACGCATCCAGCTACGGCGTCGGAGCAGTCTTAACACAAGACATGGGAAACGGGGACTACAGACCAGTAAAGTTTGCATCTAGGACGCTTACTGTGGCTGAAAAGAACTACGCACAAGTGGAAAGAGAGGCCTTGGCACTCATATTTGTGGTCAAGAAATTCCACCGGTATCTCTTTGGGCGTTCGTTCACCCTGGTAACTGACCACTACCCGCTAACGTCGATCCTGGGACCTAAGCATTCTACAACAGCCATAGCGGCTTCGAGGATCCAGAGGTGGCGCTTGTTACTTGCAGAGTACAACTTCAAGATCCTGTACCGCAAGGGCGGGGAGCTCGGGGAGGCTGATGCCCTATCGAGACTTCCTCTGAAGACAACTGTAGGAGAGGAAAGTATGTTGAAATATTTTTCACCCACAGAGCAACCGCTTCTTTCAAGTTCCGATGTGGGGAAAGAGACCCTCAGCGACCCCTTCCTGCAACGCGTCCTTGAACACACCAACAGAGGTTGGCCAACATCCGTGCGAGATCCAGGGTTGCAACCCTTCTGGCAGAGGCGGGAGACGCTGTCAACGGACCAAGATTGCCTACTGTGGGGGATTAGAGTCATGATTCCACAGGCACTACAGGCTACGGTCCTCAAGAGCCTGCATGAAGAATATCCAGGAATGGTGCGGATGAAACAACTTGCGAGAGGGCATGTGTGGTGGCCCGGAATCGACGCCATGATCGAGAACAAGGTGCAGTCATGCGAGATCTGCTAAGCGGTCCAAAACGACGTTCTTCCAGTACCACTCCAGCCATAGAAGATGACCTCGCGGGTCTTCGAACGTATTCACTTGGACTTTGCAACCAAGTCGGGAACCAACTTGTTTGTTTTGGTTGAGTTTTTCTAAATGGGTTGAGGTCCTGCCTATGTCTTTCACAACCACACCCCAGACAGTCGAGAAACTTATGGCTGTCTTCGCACAGTTTGGACTACCCGAAGAAGTGGTGACTGATGGAGGCCCCCAGTTTCAAAGTGAGGAGTTCAAGAACTTCTGGAAGGATCAAGGAGTGGTGCACACCATGACGCACCCTACTACCCGGCTTCGAAGTTCGAATGGCGCCACGGAGAGGTCTGTGCAAACAGTCAAGCGAGCGCTGCTCAAGCAAGTACTTGAAGACGACCTCCGAGGGAAGAGACGAAATATCCAGGAGAAGTTGTCGTGTTTCCTACTTGCCTACCAGACGACACCACACACAAGTACTGGAAAGGCCCCTGCAGAGCTGTTCTTGGGACGGCTTCCGCGGACCCGACTGTCGCAGCTCAAGCCAGGTGCAACGTCCCTTCCACGACGAGAGAAGCAAAACAAGAAAAAGGAGCTGGCTGACAAGCGCAGAGGTCCAACGAAACTCTTTCAAGTGGGCGACAGAGTTTGGGTCAGAAATGTGAGGGAGAGAGAGTAAACTGGACTATAGGTATTTTAAAGAAAGTAATCAGTCCGGTTACATACCTGGTGCGGGTGGCTAACCAGATTCGTTATGTGCATGCTGATCACTTGCGCTTTCGAAGTGAGGGCTCCTCCCGATCAGCCTTTTCGGAGAGTGGATCGAGTGACAGTGAGAGTGTTGATGAACGGGGCGAATGTGAGGTGCCTATGCCACTGAATGCTGACAGTGGCCTAGCTGCTCAGGAAGTTTGGAGGGCGTCGAGCAGAGATCGACGCTCTCCAAATAGACTGGTGTACTAGTGTTCCTTTATGTAAGTGTGGAGGAGTGTTGTGTATGTATAAAGCAACGTAACAGGTTCCTATTCTCACCACCAGGGTGCGCTGGTCTTTGACCTGTAAAATGTGTCTTCGCCATATTAAATTTGTTCTTTGTGTGCTGTTCCTCTGCGTGGGAGCTTCTGTTCTTTGGCGCTTCGGCGCGACACAACAAAAAGAAAAAAATTAATTTTTATTTCATACAGCGTACTGAAATTGAACGAAAAGTGAAAACTTTCTTGGTTTCATAATTTTTTTTTCATTATTCGTACATAATCAAGACAAGCTTTGCATAATCTGGAAGGCAATGAAAGGTCCTACACGTGTTACTATATTGAAAGCAACACTAAACATAGTCGACCAAAAAAAAAAAATTAGCAGGTTAGGTTACTGTTGTTTGCGGAGGCATGTTTGGCGATTTTGACAAAGATTGGAGCTAAGAATAATAAATAGCACTTAAAATGTTGATTTACCTACTTTTATATACATCACAATAAAAAAAAATGTAGAAGCTTTTTTCAATACTTTGAGACTGATAGTGATTCAAAAACGCCACACAAGACAATCGTCAAAGCCTCGCCGTCCTCTGCAGCTTGTTTAGGTTTATTTTTTCTTGTTTTTTTCTCGGAAATTAAAAATGTCAGGGCGTTAAAAAAAATTATTGTTTTTCTTGGAACATATGCGCCACGAAATATAAAGATTTGAAACAAAATACAAATTTTGACTGCACCTCGTTATCTGAATCCAAATGCAACCGCCCAGGTATTTTGAAGTTAACTCTGTGGGCTCTTAACCAATCATAAAAGACGGATCACAGCGCCGCTTTCGTTTGCGCGCGTCGCCAATATCGAGAGAGCAGCAGATACGGTCAATAAGAAGTAAGAACGGAGTGTGTAAAAAATGTGCTCGTACTTTTTATTGCATAAAAAAAACTATCGTAATTGTTTTTAAGTCAGGTAGTGACACTGTTCCGTTTGTGGCACAGGGCAACGGAAGGCCTCACGGAACTCGGGAGTCACACTCACAACGATATTGCACCGGTGGTCGTTTCGAGGATGGCCAGAAATCTTGTATGCCTTCAGCGATGCATCAGAAGAGCAGTACTGGTGACAGTATGCAATGAAGAATAATTGTTGCTGGGTTGTATTGCCCACTAGCCTGGGGCGGACATCCGGGCGGTAGCACGAGTCGTTTTGCATGGCGGCTAGCGTCAGCTCCATACCCGCAATGTCCGCCATGTTCTCGTACAAAGTGCTTCTGGTGTAGTTCTTTCTGGCTTCGACAACCAGCCCATCATACAACCTGGTTATGCAGTCCACCCTCTGACTGAAGCCTCCGTTGACCTGGTAGCCCCAGGCGCCTTTCATGCCGTTGATGCGTTCGTCGATGTGGCCCATGTCGTACGCGTGCATGGCCTCGTGAGCTATGGAGTGGCCAAGGCCAGCGTACGAGATGACCGCCATGTCCTCATCCATGAACGGCATGGCCATAATCGGACTGGGTATGAAGATGGCCATGTAATATGAAAGGTAAAAGGCGTTGGCCGAAATATAAAGGCCGCGAGTCTCAGCGGCCTCAAGCACGAAAGGAGACTTCCACCTAGAAGCATCCGCCCATTTCCCGAAGCGCGTCACCATGAAGTTAAAAAGTTCGAAGTTGGCCTTGGCTTCCAAAGCCAGCAGAATGCTCACAACAAACGGTGCTTTGAACTTGGGCAGATAGGAATAATGCTTGTCCATTCTGAGTGGGGAATAGAAGTCGTCCGGCACACCTATAATTGGAACCAGCGAGTGGAAGCGCTCCAGCGCTTCCTTTCGCGAACTGTTTGTCATCCACTTTAATTTGTGGCGAAAGGCGTACGACATTTGCCTAAACATGTGCTTGGCCACCTCCACCTGATTGATGGAGACGTGCTCCTGGGCGTAGAGCGCCTGAAGTGCAAAGGGCGCCACAGCCCAAAGGTACTCGGTGCACTTGCTGTTGCTCCATACGCTCATGCGCTGCAACCGGTAAGAGGACGCCCACATGAGGTAGTAGTGAATCACCATAGTGATCCAGTTCATCGCTGGCCTTGTATTGTTCCTGTATTCATCTACAAGCTTATCTGTCAACTGTAAGCCTGGAAACCTCTGTACATAAATAACCTCCCAGGGTTGGAGGCCATACGTTAAGTGCTTGCTGATCATGTCGGTCCACTCGTACACGCTGATATGAGGCGTGTGCTCTGCCATCTCAACACAAATCATATGGTCTGGGTTTCTGTCCCGGACGCGAGAAGTCCAAACGCGAAACCTTGCGTTCACTTCTTGAACGTCGGCTGCAAAGTGCGTGCCTCCCAGTTCTTCGACAATGGGCAGATCTTCGGAGGAATATTCCTGAAAAAAAAAAGTGGTGCGTAAAATATTTTGATTGTGATAAGGTTCGGAAGTACATGGAGGTTATTAATTTGAAGGCGTTTTCGATTTAAAATAGTTTTAGACCCACATTCAACCCTTATTCAACCACAAACAGTCCCACCGATTTGTGCGCAACTGTGCAATACTTTTGCAGCTTTTCACGAACCTGCTGAAGACCAAATAGGGCCTTTCCTCACCCATTGAGTGGAACGACGAGAAAACAACAGCGTTCACTACGGTTATGGTGCCTGGAACGTGCCTCTGACTGGTGTGTTTACCGCGTCCCCCAAAAAAAAGGAGTTCCTCAATTTTCACCTGGTGACGTCATAGAATTGTCATGAGGTCGCCGGTCGCGATCTTGGCTGTGTCCCAGCGACGGTGCTGGATGTGGCAGACGCCTGTTCTGCTGCAGACCGCACTCCTGTGTGGCAGTTAATGGAAGCTTTGGCAGCCGGAAGTTGGGACGCCGCGACACGTTCGCTCGTGCTTTTTTGCCAGGATTTCTACGACCAACCGCCAGGACCGCAACATCCGACACTTATGACGTCACTTGTTGCCACTTCGGGAACACTTTTGGTGTATGGGCGGGGTAGGACGCTAAACATACCAAACGGAGACGCGCTCCAGGCACCATACTACGGCTGAGCAAGCCCTATAAATTCTAACAGGATAAACCGAGTACATGCTCCGCTTTTTCTGCCCATTTATTCCCTAGAGCAGCCAAAGCCCGGCGGAAGGAAACGAGCGCGCGCTCGCTTCCGGGTTCTTAAAGGGACCATGAAATGATGTTTCAACTTCTTCCTCCTTAGTTATAATCCTCAACACAAAAGCCAAATGAGAAATCACGTGGTCGTGGCGTCCTTGGGCACCGGAGGTGATGACTCCAAGGTTCTGCCGTGTTTCTTAAGCGCACCATGGAACTTGGCATTGTCAAGTAATGAAAAGTATCGTCACGGAATTTATTGGCCACGAACGCGAATTCAAGTATTCGTAGATGAATTAATTGTCGACGAGCGCATACGTTCGTGTCACGCAGTGCTCGTGTCCAATGCGTGAGCTAGGGTCGGCTGACGTGCTTGGGCACCGCGGATGGATACAGTGAAAAGGTGGAGAGCTTTTGAGGGAAAGGAGGTACGGAATAGTCCGTTATATTTGTTAACGTTTTTTACCGAAAAGCAGGTCTTAGCCTTTCTACACTCGTGATCTAGTTTTATTTTGGCTCACTAAACGGTATGCGATTAGTAATATTCCAATTTATTCTAGCCGAAAATTTATTTCATGGTCCCTCTAAAGTAAGTACGTTTATACTCCAACGTAACGTCGACGGACGCGGCGTAGCGCAGCGCACACTGATACTGATTGGTCGCAGATATCGAGTTCCTGGTCACTGGCCAATGAAAGGAGCGCGTTCTGCGCTACGTCGTGTTCACTGCGCTTAACATCGTGGGGATCAAAACTGTAAGAGAAAATTTCATTGAAAGTGTGGCATATATTTGCGAGGTATACCGTGCACTCCCTGAACCCCCTGAATGATTGCCAATACTGGATGAGTTGGTATGTTTAAAAATATTTTAATCCGCTGGCAACCGCTGCTAAGTGCTGATTCGCTCTTGAACAAATTGTACGTATGTGAATGACTGTGTGCTTTTTCATCCTGTTTTGACCGGAAATAAATAAAAAAAAAAAAGAAGATCGGTGGTCGATAGGGCTAAAGCGCACACCAGCTCGACGCGCGTGGAGCGAAAGCTCACGCGCAGAACCCAGGGATCCTGGGTTCGAGCCCCACGCCTGCCCGTTTCGATCTGGATGAGCATCGTACCGGCGTGCGGTCGTGTATCACTTACTGGGTGGTGCACGTTAAAGACCCCAGGCTAGCGGTCTGTACTGCCACTGGCTAAATTGCTCATCTACAACGTGTGACTCGTCGCAACTTTAAATGGCTGACCAACTACGCGCTGTATAATAATATCCCTATACCCCATTTGCTTTTTTTTTGCGCTTAACG